AGTAGTCATTCCTCACTTTGACTCGAACGTTCTTATTCTATCGACATCGGATTAAAAGAGAAGTTTCCTAAAGCTCCAGCGAACGTTCCAATTAAAATATTTATGACTGACCTAAAATGGGAAGGTCCTGGCGAAGGCAATGTGCTTACCATCGGAAAGTTTTGTATAGTGTCATTTGCGTACTTCAATGAACAATCCCATTCATCATTCATCGTTCTCGTCGGTGTTGGTTTTGGTTGTTTAGTTTTATTACGGAATTCGGGTTTCTTCTCGTGGATCCGTCGAGAAATCGCTTTTTCGTAGCCTCATTATAGAAACTCTATTACGGTTATCCCAAGCTCATTGTTGAAACCTTGTCGAATACTGTATACTTGGCCAACAGTTCGGTCAGGATGCGAACACGTGCATTCGGTTTTAATAATAAATACAATTACAACCACGCGGCTACGGGCAAACGAGGCAAAATACAAGGCATGGAATAGATAAATATTTGTTTCAAACCACATCGGATTCCAGTGAAAAACACCATAATGAATTATTGGGTAGCAAGTAGAATTATCGCGTCATTCAACATTTTGTCGGCATTTCTCTTTTAAGCCATACCTACCCTTTTTGTTAGCACAACTCCGATGGAATTCTATCGTATAAATGGGGAAAATCCGGATTTGCCAAAACTAGAGAAAATCCGAATTTCCGGAATCCAAAATTCAATTTTTCTCGAGGGTATTATCCGATAGCCAAGATTTATTTATTTCGCGGTATATTCGTGTAATATTGGAGTTTATGTAAAATAAACAACGCCACGCTAATGGACAGATACCGTCATTGCCACCACCGTACCATATTAATTTTAATAAGTAACTATTTAAACAAAATCGAGAAACGACACTTTTAAAGTAAAGAAAAATTAACAATAAACTTTTAAGAGTCGAGCCGACTCTTAGCGTGGCTCAGCGTGGCATTGTTGTCACAAAACTTTAATGTCTAATCTTTGTTGTCACATCTTAAAAGTTCAAAGTCCTCTCAAGTTTAATTAGTTCATTTAAATTATTTTTTTCGTCATCGTGATATCTAGACTTATCCACATTAACATTAATAGAGAGGTAAAAGACAATTAAAAAACAATCATTACTTTATATGAAAAAAAAGGCGACATGTACATTTGTAATCGTCGTTTGTCCTGTAATAAACAAAATGGTTTTGTCATATGATATTACTTCCGGTGGGATAAACGTGTAAAAACACACTAACTATCCATTTAAAAAATGGAAAAATTATGACTAATAACTCATCAGGTTGACGATTAGTCAATTAAAAACTGTAGACAAAATCTACGTCCACTGTGTTAAGAGACTTTGCCTTTTATGAAAAAATCGTTAAGTTTAAACAAATAAGACAATTATTTTTCGTTTACATTTAGGATACGAGTCGTAATGATAGAGTCTGTATAGCTCGTTTGTATTTATTCGGCCGGTCGCTTCCAGACAGCGAAGCGAATGCAGAAAATAAAAAATAACCGTCATCGCTACCGTATCAATCCCAAGTCTAATAAATAAATAAGCAAATGGTACGAAATATAAAAAAGAGAAAACATAACATTATGGCGCATTAGGACAAATCCAGCCGAATGCGTCATCGTTGTGTAATCGAAAAGTTACACAACGATATTAAAATTTTAAGTTTAATGTTTGGGAACAATTTTTTTAATTTTTAGACAATCGACTTGTACGTTAAGAATGCGTCTAAGTTGTTTGATAACTTAGATGTTTTGAAGTTAGTAAAAATCGTGGTTGTTCTATCTTTGTCAATAAACTTCTAAAAATGAATAAATTCATAATTTAATTCGATATCAAAAAACGAAAGACTTATAAAATCGTTAATGTTGATTTAAATTAAAACTTTGTATATTTATCAAGGTAAATTATAGAAAATTGATTGATTTGTTTGAGTAAATAATAGTTTATTTATTGAATAAAATATATTTAAATTTACAAATTTATTAGTTTAATAATAATAATTTAACATTACTTTCTAAAATGTTATGAATCGACAAATAAGTGTGTCCATTTCTTATTTTGAAGCTTTAACTCGTCAATTTTAAAATGTTTTCTCAATAAACAGAATAATTATTATTTTAAAATCCTAATAATGTTTTTAAAAATTGTATTATTAATCATCTTACGTGTAATATTTGATAAAGTGTAGAAAATATGAATTATTATGCTAAATTTTTTATTTAAGATGATTTTGATGCCCTTCGTATTGAATGTAAGCAATTATTTGCAAAACCATAATTTCAGCTATAAACTAAAGTTATATTATCATTACGGTACAGTTATGGGAATCTTTTATCAGTAATTCATATTTTTATCATTTTATCACACTGACCGTAATTCTGTTTTATTTTTTTTTTTACAGTCTAAATTTAACTACTGTACAGATTTGACTGTTAAAAAACAATTGTCAAAACCAATGACAATATGATAATTATGGCCACACGTTGGCTGATAAATTTGGATAGTTTGGATAAATGCAAAAGTTTCTCAAATGAGTCACAAATAAAAATCTTTTATTATATTTTTAAATCGTTTTCTCATTGTCTAAATGCAATTTTAAAAATCTGCCAACCTATGTACTTTGGAAATATTGACAATTTTATGTCTTTGCTATGGCACACACACGGAAAATTGACACCGACACCGCTTATCATAACGAAAAATAATAGCTGATTATTCTGATAAGAGAGATAAGAGAAGAAGATAGAGGGTGAAAGATAGGGGTGAGAGATGATGGGTGGGGGCATATATGTTGTATTCACAACGTTCAAAATAGAAATGAATTATAAATGTAATAACTTAAGGGACCAAATTCTCTATGAATTGGTTTAGGCCAGATATTATGAAAACACTTAAATATTAGCCAGAAACTAGATATGTTTACTAGCCACTTTAGATACATAAAAATGTATCCCGTGGTGTTGCGGACTCGTACGCAAGCTGTTTCATAATATTTTGTAAGTCATACCTTTCATTTAAAATTCTATAAAAAATAGATCTGCCGAACCATATTCCAAACAAAAATAATAACAATCAACTTAATGGTTAGCGAAGGTTTTTTAAAAATCGATTTGGGCGTTCAATCAATATCATTAAGACTGATAATAGTAATTATGTATCAGAAAATTTGGCTGTACATTTTTAACCAGACGGCAGATCTGCCGCACTCCGTATCCTAAGTAAACGTATATAATATGAACATCTGTACATCTATTATTACAGGACCGTCATAATATAGACAGGTTCGTGTAATTCAATAACAATCATCATTCACATCTAATATAATATAACCACGTGTACCGACCGAGGTAAATTATTATGCGTATAAAAATTAATTTTTATATTATGCAAAGCGAATAACGTTGAAGGTAGAGTATGGAATTTATTTGTTAATGGTTAAAGTAACTTAAACTTAATTTGGCGTTGCAACTGTTGGAGTAGTCGTGTAACATCTGGATTTTTAGTATTCGCCGACGTTATCCATCATGGAATGGAAACGTGACGGAAAGTTTCCCAAGACTTTGAAAGCATATCCGCTTGGCGACATCTTCTCATTATACACGGCACGGTCTTATTTGACGCGAAAATGAAAAGTAACAAAACGAATTAAAAAACGTACTTTTTGATATGAAATTAACGTTAGCTTGCTTTCAATTCAAACCCAAAAGAATAATAGGCTGTCAATCGGTTTTTTTCTTTATTGTTATTTTATTGATAAAATTATTATTTTTCATTCGCCGTTCAACTTTAACGTTTCCGTTTATTAAATGTATTATTTTATCGTAATAGTATTTGTGTTCAAATATTTAGTCTTAATTTACTTGAAATAAAATATTATTATTATATTATATTATACGAAAAATAACATAAAAAATTAACGTTGGCAAAATGTCTGTGCTGTTGGTCGTAAAAACCCCTAATAATTAGAAACATAACGGTCGTTAAGGTTCTAGATGAACTGGATGGGTTATAAAAGTATTGTTGAGCTAAATATTTCTTACTGCGACCAACCCACTCATACAAAGACTAATGCGCGTTGTTGTAGTACATATTTGTTAAATTAATCGAATCAGACGTTTTAGCGTTTGGGTACACCATACAAGTAATTTCGCAAGCAAGCAGAAACTACTTTGTAGTTGGTTGGTATCCTTTTTCGTTTCATATTCACCTGAAACCTATTTGAGTCTAATGAACGGCACTTAGAACACCTGCACGGGATCCTGTATAATTTTAAACCCATCACATTAGCCGGAACGTTTTATATTTGCGTACGCTCTAGTCTACCTCACATGAGAACCCGGAAACGCGCTTTACTGATAGATCAAAGGATCTATTACTCTCAGTTATACGAGACCCTAAAGAGGCTATGAACTACAAAGAGTTTTGCGGTTATCCCTTGTCAAAATCAGAGATTGCCTTGTATTATATCGTCGTTAATATTATTACTATTATGTATTAGTACAGACATTTCACTTTAATGCTGGATTTAATTATTTCTCTATAATACAACGTCATATATTGTTTTTAAGCTTTGGCAGGTTTCTATTAATTGAAATAAACAGGTGAAGCTGCATTACTTAGCAGTAAAATTCGTGCCTGTATTATTTTTTAATCTGGGATACAATTAATCATTTACGTAATTACTAACTTTTAATGCTAAAAAAAAAAAAAAATAATGTAAAAAATAAATAATGAATACATTAATATTATAACATTAGTTTTGTATAATGATATAGTAATCATGTTTAATTTCAACTATTTTAATACATGTTGTTGATTATTATTTCACTTGAAAGAAACTATTACTAATATAGTTAGTAGCTTGGTATTAAATACTAGCACTGATGAATAAGAAGCGGACACAATTCTGGTGACGTTTTAAGATTGCCTTTTGATTTTTCCTTTCAATTTGAGACTTTCAATGGTCGTTTATCTGTTGTTTAGAATGGTAAAGTGATCAGTGCCGGAAACCCGCCGAACGATGAGCTTCTTCACGTCCCTTCACCAAATAGTCACCAGCGGTGTGGCCCAGTTGAGCCTGAGTCCAAAACGGTTTTCGCTGTCGAAGGAATCCGGAGCAGATGGCGAGGAAGCGGCAGTCGCTGCAGCAGCAGCCGCGTCTTCCAGCAGGTCGGCCAGCACGGGCAGTGTCAGTGGTATTCCTAGGATCGTGACGCCCCAAGGTAGCGGAAGCGGAGGGCCTAGGTCAAGTGGTGGACCCAGGCGAACGGGATCATTCAGACAAATATCTCAGCCCAGAAACCCTCAGGCTTTCTGCAGGCGCAGACAGTCATGGCCCGAAATTGACCAAAACGCGTCGTCCGGGTAAGTCGAACACAAAGTAATCATACCTAGCATTTTAATGAGAATTTAGAAATATTAAAATGGTTCATATCTAAGTTCGTGAACTTAATTTAAATCGTTTGTGTAGTTTTTTAATTTCCCGTAAATTTTCACAAATATCCGATAAACCTAACGAAACCTGTTATAAATGATTTCTATTGAATGATTTTAGATTATTTTTTAAGTTTGTTTCAATTAATTTATGACGAAATCATCAAAAGTTGTACGCAGTATTATTTATACTGATAAATTGAGTCAAAAGGTTAAGAAGTTAATGTTGATTACAATGGAAATTACTTTCAGCTCCTTGTAAAATAGATAAAATAAGAATTTATTCCAAGTGTCTTCTTTAACAATATAACAAATACAAAATTAGCTATATTTTTCTTTTGTTGTTTTAATTTCATTTACAAATGGTTATTATTGCCTTCCAACAAGTAGTAGATAATTTCACCAGCTCAATCAAGTCTATAAAAACTTTCGAGTAAATCCAAGTTTATATTCCACTGTTTACCTGCCGACCTGTCGCTTTGAATTCTAATTTATAATAGACAATTGTTCTTAATTTCTTTCCATTTTGCAACAAATGGCAGCGCACCGGCTTCGTTAATCGTTTGGAATCTGAAACGTCTTAGTGTTCGGATTGGGGGGAAATACTATTAATTTTGCGGCTCAGGATTTTATATTCACAAGTGATTTCCCGACGCCGCGCCGTTCGCCCTAACGTGTTTGGATGACAATTACTTAAGTTTTCGATATTATCTCCAGCATTTTTTCACTCCGCCGAGGCACTTCTGGCGGTTGATGTTTGTTATTGGAAAACGTTCGGATCAAATTCATTTCTATGGCAAATAAAATACGTGCACCGAAAGAAATATACAACGCACATGTATTATATTATATAAATGGAAAATGTAAATCAAACACCGCGTCCATCATCAATATTCCGTTTCGGTGTTTTTCTTTCTTATGTTCGGATGTTCTATTTTTGTATGCTCTTTTTATGGCGACGGTTTTCAATACCACCCCAGTAACAGCAACTACAAAAACTCTACTGGCGGACCACTTATCCAATATTTCGTTCACGGTACCAACAACATATCGAATTCGCTTTTATTCAACATTATTCATCATTGCGCGCACAGCATGGCGTATTCCCATTGTATTCGATATTGTGCGCTAAACGGGTACAATACATTTTTCTGACATTTTCTACCGTATGTTGATTTTACAGTTTGGCCACAACGTTCCATGACGGTCTGCCGCTATGGAAGACATTTTCAAACACTATGAATGGTGCATAATATAAAGGCAAATATTAGCGTTTATGCATTTCAGCTTTTACGCTTCTTTCGCGACCGCGCTAAGTTGTTTTTCTGTGTATAGTAAAGCCAGGCTTACGCGTCAGTATCGTTCTATCTCATCAATATGTTTCATGTCGATTTGCAAGGAGATTAATACGCCATTGGATCAACCTGCGGCATCTCCGCGTGCCTTTTGTGTATTCAGGTGGGAATACCCCGGAGACATTTATTTCAATTATATTAACATGGTAGCATATTACGTCCGAGAACCTCGGGCGCCTGTATATTTTGGTTTAAAGCCGGAAAACCAATGTTTGGGATCTTGGCTTACACGTATTACACAGTCTCTGCGCAGTAACTCACCAAAAGTGCGCAACATAATAAAATGTACAGTGGCAGTGCCGACTATTGAAACAATTAATTAGTAGTAAATAATTACAAACTAATTAGGTATCGTTCGAGGAATAACCCAGTACTCGAATACAACCGTAAAGACATAAAACGGGTGTGTTATCGAATACTCTTATATTAGAGATTTTTTTTTTTTTATCCTTCAAACCAGATTTAATGGATTATTAATTTTGGTAAAAAAAAATTTGTAAAAATTCTAAGTTACATAAGTGTATAACTAAAAGAGTTCCAGAGCATTGAAAACACTTTTCAAGCTCTATCATAATTTCAGTGAAAATAAAACTTGACGATAAAAGACAATATAGTAAGAAAATATGTGAATATGAAAATATGTGCGATCTTTAGTATTCAAAAAATGAACGAAATATTTTTATAGTTTTTTTTTTTTACATTTCCTTCGAAATGATTTACCGAATTGTGATCTGTTATGTTCCCGTGATAAATTGTGTAGTCGTACATTATAGCATACGACGATATTAAACTCAACACCACGGCTTGTCTGATCGCGGTAACGGTATTTGTGCGAGGCCCGTTGATGTGTAATAAGACGTCGCACGTCAACCGCATTATTATTAGTGTTATAACGACGATTAATGGATGCCCAGTAACCGTACAGTAGTAATATCTCGCGAATTTCATTTTTTTTTTCAATTACAGCTCAGCGTAACAGGTTTGAATACATTGGCTTTAGCTATAACGTAGACGTCATACGACTTTATCGGCGGCACTCAGTAAGTCCACCGTCTTGGAATTTGGGTATTTAAGTGAACAATATTAATAACTCAACGAGGAAAAATAATGTAGCTGGGTTTTCAATATATAAATTACACTACACAAGAAAATATGTAAATATACACATATATTGATATAATATATATGTATACTATTGTTATTAATATTTTTTAAAAATGAGCAGGGTTTCAAACAGTTATGCAACTTTTACAAAAAGCTAAACGTTTACAATAATATAAATTAATTTTTTTATAAAATCCTGTCCTATAAAAGGTCCTGTTTTTATGGACCTTTTCTTAGAATCGAAGCGGTGTTAAGGTTTTGTTTTGTAAAATTGTCTGTTTTTATTTTAACTTTTTATCTTTGTAACTCGCTGAGCCGATTTCTTCATATAAAAACCTATAAAACAGAAATCGTACTAAAAAGGTACTACGGTGGACCAACAATTTAATAAGTTCACCCCTTCCAATTGAAAAATCGAGAAAACACTCAACAAGTTTTACATATTTTTCAACTTAGTATGATACATATTAAAATAATATACACTATTTTCTCAAAAATCTATAATCAAACTTTTTTTTTTATTAAAATAACTAAAAATAAGAGGAGAAAATTACACAGTAACCGTTGTAAATGTTTAAGTTGATACGTGTAAGTGAATCAACAGGCATTTGAAAATATTTTCATTATACTGTAATTCGCTGTTTAGGTAACAATGGCAAAAAATTATCGATCGACCCTTTTGATGTCCCCCTTAAACTCAAAATATGATTTAAAGCATTTGTATTAAATGCTATTATCTGTATTTCTACTATCTACAGATTTGCATCGATGCATTTTTGAAAGTCACTCTCTCACTTGCAGTTATATAGTAATTCTTGTAGACCTGTGGCCTCTCCTGCCCCAATATACTTCGTCTCCACAGTGACACAGTACCACTGTACATTTCTGTTCATATATATATTATTAAATGTGTTAGCCAAGTTATCTCGGCGAATACGTCATGACGTATGTGCCCTACTTCTTCCATTTCTACCTTTTCGTTTCCAACCGACCACTATAATATCATGAATAACGTGCCGGCGGAAGTACCGACGGTTAGATTAGATGTGTAAGTCGGAGAAGAGAAATATTTTGGCAAATACCTTTTGATATTTTATTCATGACGCCATTCTTGAGGGGGTGGCCCTAAATCCCCGGGATATTACTCGCCGAACAAAAGGTCGAGTGCGCTCGTCCATATATACCTCCATTGCCCTTTCGTTCTGTACCGTCATCGACCATCGTTAAAGGCAAATGCGACCGAAACGATTGTACGCCCACGGCTGAGTCCTCTCAACACCGATGTGATATAATACTAATCATAGGGGTTACTATACTAAGTGTGTGTCATGTAACCCGGTACTCTGTTTTATATGCATGTTACTGTACGATGGTTGACAATTGACAGCCAATAGCAATTTTCCTGGCTGATAATATGTATCGCTAGGGGTCTGTCGAAAATTTGACATGTCAGTTACTCGACATTGTTTTGCCAACACTATTTTACTGGCAGAGATAAGAAATAGCTGATAAAGGATTGGCGATGAGATACCACTGATAATGACAGATTATAATAGATCAGGGACAAATGGAAGATAGGAAAGGAATTAAAGATAAAAGGAGGGGAGGGAAATGATCATAAACCTATTAATAGGGATCATATTATGCAATGATCCAATGTTATTCCTTCAAGGGAAAAACTTATTTAGGTACGATATTTGTAATGGTTATGGCCTAATCATAGGTTAATCCGTTGCCATTGGACAGGCTAAACAAACTATATAGTGGTTTTATACTACTCCTCTAATCAGTTTAAGATTAATCGTAAACTTAAGTAATATAACATAATTTCCTAAAAGCTTGATAAAAATAATTTTAAGAAAAATAATTGCATATATTACCAGAATCTCAATGAAATCATAAATCATATCTAATATATTTTCAGCGAGGACCTACCGAGTACAAATCACCTTTCTTATCACAATCTTATCTTTTATCAGCGATTTCCTATCAATTAAATGTATTATCACTATTTTATATCTTTTCCTTCCTTACCAGTTTTTTACTTTCGACATTTCATTTTTAGTATTTCTCCACCTTAATCTCTTACCTTATTTTTTCTCATCGCCTTTCTTTATTTTCTTTAATACCTTCCCTTATTTCATGTCGTTTTCGGTATAGTTTGTGATGGCAATAAAATATTCTAATTGTATGATACAAAAAAATAAATTCACGTCGGTGCAACAAATCAACACGATATTTCGATACAGCAGCCTTCGGCAACAGTCAAGGTGCCCTCATTACCATCCAACGTAATCTTCCTTTTTGTTAACCCACCAAACAGCTCAGGCATAACATACGAGGCTCAGTGAATAAAGAACTCGTCGAATATTCGCCGACAGAGAGCTAATGGCATTTTGCTAAGCTCAAAAAGGCTTCTTTTGGATATTTTTATTTTTTTTTGTTATCAAACTGTGTAATCAACCGAAAAAA